AGTGTTCCATGCAAGGGGGCTTCGTGGCAAGGTGCTACCGTCGCATGGGTGTTTCGCATGAGCCTTTTGTGCGTCCCTTGATGCGTCGCATTGATCTTGGGAGAAGCCCTGAAGCTGGCAGAGAACCCCCAAGTAGCGCATCAGAAAACTTGAACAGTGCTCAAAATGCTGGTTGATTGGTAAGGATTTAACGAAGAAAAATCACTGGGAGGGACCAGCATTCAGCAGCGAAGTCTGCTGAATATCCATATAGACCTGTCACCAGTCAGTGGGTCGAACAGTGGTCAGAGAGCCAGATTCAGATGGGATCCCTACGTCCACTGTCACTGGGCATTCCTGAACCAAGAGCCTGGTGGGCCACTAGTAGTCACTAGATACCTGACGACCATGACCGAGTTGTAGCCTTTCAGGTGCCATTTGCGACCGAGTTGTAGAGGGAGAGGCTGCTGAAATCTGCTGAACGAAACCATTTTGGTGGGAAGGAAACGGTTTGGAAACGCTTGACCTATCTGGCTATCCTGGCATGGAACTGACAAATCAATTCTGATTTAACAGTGATTGCTCCCCAAAGAGGAGCTGCCTTCCAAAATTATTCGAAACAGAACATGTAAGCATTAGAATATATATATATAATAATATAATATATAATAATATAATATAATATAATCTAATATAATATGATATGATATGATATACTGTAGTATTACATAAACTAATATAATATAATATAACATATTTTAATATACTATTATATAATATAATACAATATAATGTGTATATATACATATATATATATGTAAATTTCACATATATATATATTATATGTATATGTATATTATATATAAATAATATATATATATATATGAGTAATATATATATAAATGATATATATATATATACATATTATATTATACTATATTATATTATATTATATCATATTATATCATATCACATTATATTATGTTATGTTATGTTATATTATATTATATGTTATTGTATGATATGATATGTATATTATATACATAATATATATATATATAATATGTAACTGTAATATATACATAGATAATACATATATATATATATAGATAATATATATATACATACATACGCATAATTATATTAGACTTCTTTGCACTCGGACTTCTCCACTGAACCCCAAGAAATGGCTGCAGGTGGAGCTTTCACCTGGTCAGCTTTCTGAGCTGGTGCAGATTCATGGACTGCCTGGGGGGGAGAGGTGACTTGGTGTGATCGCATCTCAGGGAGGTGTCGAAGGTTCAAACTAGACTGTGCAATCCTCAAAGACATCGCCGGCATTTCTGTGTCACTTTCAGCTCTATGTCCTCAATGTGGTTTTCATAGAGATGTGGCTGAAATCAGATTGCCTTGCTGACTGGGTGCTTGTTTGGAATGATGCTTTCAGCTGGTCCATGCATACATGTGGCCAAATGCAACATATCTTGGTGAGCTGTTTATTTCTACACATACGTGTGTCTACTATGATATACACACATGATTATATATTAAGCAAGTATGTGTATGTGTATGTGTATGTGTATATACATATATATATATATACACATACATACATACATACATACATACATACATACATACATACATACATACATACATACATAGATACATACATAGATACATACATAGATACATACATAGATACATACATAGATACATACATAGATACATACATAGATACATACATAGATACATACATAGATACATAGATACATAGATACATAGATACATAGATGCATAGATGCATACATGCATACATGCATACATGCATACATGCATACATGCATACATGCATACATGCATACATGCATACATGCATACATGCATACATGCATCCATGCATCCATGCATCCATGCATCCATGCATCCATGCATCCATGCATCCATGCATCCATGCATCCATGCATCCATGCATACATGCATACATGCATACATGCATACATGCATACATGCATACATGCATACATGCATACATGCATACATGCATACATGCATACATGCATACATGCATACATGCATACATGCATACATGCATACATGCATACATGCATAAATGCATACATGCATACATGCATACATGCATACATGCATACATGCATACATGCATACATGCATTTCAATAAATATTTAGACGGATGTATATAAGAGCTGATATCTCTAACATCGCTGGGTACTGTATCTGGTACAGTAAAAAGGGTCCTATCAGGACAGAAGTTCTCCAAGCCGGCTGGTACCTGGTCTCAGGAGAACTGAAACTGCGGTCTCCAAGGCGCAAGTCGTCGGACTTGTCACGCCCTGGGTGTATGAAACCAGTGAAATCAACAGTGTATGAAACCACGTAAACAAAAAAATGAATCAACAACGGTGAACAGTGTATGAAGCCATATGAAACCACTACAATCTTTTCTCGTTCTTTTTTTGGCACAGAGGAATATCAAGCCAGGATCAAAAGCACTCTTTTGTTTTTTTTGGGGTGCGGCTGATTTCTTTGATTCCCCCGAAATGTTCCTGCCACATGAACCAACCAGGGGGTTGTTGATTCAGGCTGAGATTAATTTGCTTGGGGAGCACCATACTTTGTCTCCTGTCCCGAAGGCTTTAGTCGTAGAGGTTCTGGTTGTTTTGGACGACAGAACCCCACATTTTGCGGTGGCCAAAGAGATCTCCCAGATGCAATGACAAGAGGCTGCTTCAGAATTCCAGTGAAATGTCAATGCTTGACGTCGATTGAAAAAGGCGACCAGGATCCATGGTTTCTTTCATTTCATTCACAAGAAGGGTATCCTTAGCATCCTTTGACGAAACGGCCACCGTCATATCCAGGCACTGGCTGACCCTTCAGATGCACATACACTGCAGCCATCGCGGATTCAGAACGCCAAGCACATCAACTCGTTCAACATGGTTTCGTTTTTAAAACCCTTAACAAAGTCCTGACATGATGATGGATATTCTTAAGATACACTGTACTCAGCCACCCTCACCTCCAAGTTGAAGATACAGAAGGGTTCTCCAGTGTTTGCAGCTTGGCCACAGCCTACCCTGACAACCCAGTACCGAAAGTTGCGGTTTGTTTCCTTGTAAAGTCGATATATCAAAACTACAGCTCCGTGGCACCTATGGTGCAGTTTAATGTGGAGGCTGGGATTGCGCTGGGTCTGGTATAGCTCACTAGGCTCACTTTGTTTGGGGCCATTGGTTGCTTTGGTCCCCAATTTGAGATCAGCCATAGTTCTGGTCCGATGCCGCCCAGACGAAAAATGCTGCGGAGCTCACCGGGCACGTGTTGAAAGTGGAGCTGGATGGCAAACAGTGCCTGGGACTGGGGCGATTCTGGTGACTCACCACCTCACCATAGATTGCCATAGATGATTGGTAGGGGGATCATAAATCATACCAAGAAGACTTCAGGGTTGGGAAGTATGAAGGAACTAATAATACAGTACTAATACATCATGGGCATTCATGGGCCAAATGTATGGATTTCTTCTGCTGCCAGGAAGTTTCCTAATTCATGGTATGAAGATGTGAGGCACTTGGGATAGGCATGAAATTGGTTCCCTCGGGCAAAGGGAACTGTGTGGTTGAGATATTTACTTGTGGAGGGCTATTTATTTTGGGAATTCTATGGAAAATGAGAGGTTCCAACTCCAAAATGTTGCAAAGACAGTTGAAATGGCAGCTTCCAGCTCCAAAATGCTGCAAATAGCAAGAAAAACGGGCAGAAAAGCAGATCCAACAAAAATCTCAAAACGGAAAAACAAAAACCCAAAACAATTCCGGACCCTTCACTTGTTGCCTCCTAATAAGTTTAGGACGCACCTGGATCTTGATTTCGCAGTTTGTTGGGGGCTGGCCTCTGCTGGCTCCCCAGAATGGTCTGCTTCTCACTGATGCCGGCAAGTGTCACAGGAAAGGCTTGCCATGAACTGTCAAATTCCCAAAGATCTTTATTCACAGAGAAACCATTCTATTTTCTTTTGAAGCACTTTTTTTTCGGTTTGACATGTCCCCATCCCCAACTGTTCGCGACCACCGTCCAGGAAGTTCGTAGATCTGCAGACGCGATGTCACGTGAACTTCACGGAGGTCACCTCAGGGCAGCACAGCGCCACAGTGGACATCTACAAAAAGGTGGGCACCTGCACCCTGGCGGCCCTGGCGCTGGGAGGACCCAAAAATCGTCCCAACTTTTGGTTAGGGAAACCCACTTGGATTTTTTGGGGAGTTGGTTGACACCAGAGGTAACGATGGGATCCTCAGTCATCCATCATCCATCAGAGTTTCAATCAGTTTGGATGATTTCTCAAGGTCCAAAGAAGCTCTATATAATGTATATATATAGATAACACAAACAATGAAGGTAGAGAAATCGGTCCTTTTTCTCTTAAAAAAACTTCACCGCGGGGAAGGTCCCCGGTCATGGCGCCACATCAACATCCATCATTTCTGGTCTGGGGATGGGTTAAACCTGAAGGTTGCCATATTTTAAGGGATTGCCATCCGTAAATCCCAGCTAGTCTGTGCTCTTCACCAGGGTCCATAGCCATTTTTCATGGTCCTTTCACGAGGGAAGCGTTCGGAGATGGGCACCTGAGGTACCGTGAACTTTGATGCGGACAGTTCCAGCAGACAGCAATGCACTGTACCTGGCTGGGACATGAGTGTTGACATCAGAACCTTGGCGGATGAGCTGGGGGCCACCTGTCCAGAGCTTCTCTATGGTTCCCTTTTGGGGCACATGTCAGAGCATGCGCACGCCCAGCCAAGAGTCTCCTAGCCATTTGACCCTATGGTACACAAGTTGAATGTGCACGTAGGTTAAAGTTGGAATGCCTCCTAATTGGATAGTGCACAGCCCATGCAAAATCTGCAAATGACATCATCTGTGGGTCTCGGTGTATCAAAATTTGAGATGCTGCAGCTGTATTCTCAGACCCCTGCCATAGGCCATAGGCAACATGTCCTCCATTTGCGAGACCGCTTCCACTGATGGTGAACATTGCTTCGAGAAAAGCTGTCCTTGTAGGAGCCAGAAATACGTCCTGTGCCCCTACCACAAGAAGACTTTCCTGTGCAACAGGCATCGATACACAGGATGTTCTCAATGTCATTTGCCGGGCAGGTATGAAGGAGGTGCAGCTTTCCACAGCCAAAGTAGCTTTCTGATGAAGAAGTTGTGGAAGTTTTTCTAGTTGAAACTTTCTTGTTGATGCTTAGTTTTTCGGAACTGGGGGTGCTGGGTCTTTAAGGTATTTTTTCCCTTCGCATTACTGGCACGACTGAATTGCAGACTTGAGATGAACATTCCTTCCATGTATCTTTGTGTCCATGCCCCAAATTCAAGACCTCTCAGCATCATTCAGCATCTAGGTTCATGGGATGCTCAAGATGCAACAAGCCAGTGTCTCCTGGTTCGCCTCAAGCAGATGATCAGTGCTGGCGACCATGACACAGCGGCTGATCAGATCGAGCGTCAACTTTCAGAATTGAAGAACACCAGCGCAAGCGCTCGACTTCTGAAAGCTCAGCTCTTCCTGGAGAAAGGTCATGCATGGCATTCCATTGCAGGCGTGGATGGCATACAGACACATGAGGAGAAGACCCAGTATCTGGAAAAAGCTCATGATGCATTTCGGACTTCGGTAGAACAATTTCAAAACTATGGCTTGTCAAAGAGGAACCCGCAAAGCTACGCCGATGCCTTGCTGTCCGAAGCCAATCTACAGGCTCGACTAGCAAAGCATGGAGAGCAGGGTGATCTCACCAAAGCCAAGAAGAAAGCGAAGAGTGCCGAAAGGATTCTGAAGCGTTTGGAATGCTCCACCGAAGGCACAGCGATCCGGGTCCTTGGGGTCATTTGGCTCACCTTAGGCGACCTTCCCAAAGCCAAGCAGCTTTTTCTAGCTGCGATTCGTGCGTTCCGAAATTCCGGCAAAGAGCTGGAATCAATTTGGTGCGCCGTAGCGCACTGGAACGTGCACATCGTGCTGAAGGACCTTGGAAAGACATCTGATTCATTGCCATGGTTGAAGCGAGCAACCATGCTGCGAGAACACATCGAGGGTCCTGATGCCCCTTATGTAAAAAAGTATCATGAGTGGTTGGATGGACTGTTGAAGGAGCTCGGATGTGAGAAGTCCAAGAATCAGAAACCTGAGACAATGACTCATGCCGAATGGAAAGCACTTGACTTAGCCCTCAACGCTGGTTCGGCGTGCTTTTGACACCATTCCGGTTTCATGGCATCCAGCAGCGATCCTATTTCAATTTGATTTACCGAAAAGAGCGCCAGCAGAGCTGAAAAAATCATGGCGCGCTTCATGATCTCCACGTCTGGCAGACGCAACCAAGGCACGAAAGGAGCTCCCTCTGGATGGAATAGCCTCTTTGGCTGGTGCAACACCCAGGAGGAGCACCGTTTGGTGTTTTTAACTGGACTATGCTCCATTTCACTTTAAGGATGAACAGGATGACACCATGAATTTTTGGGTTCCCATTTTTTGATCTCACAGCCAGTGGACAATGTGAAATTGAAACATCATCCCTCATCATTCATAGTGATGTCCCAAGAATATGCACCTTGAAAATCCCCACGGATTCCGGGATGGTTTCCCAAAGACAGCTGGTGACAATCAAGGGCGCACTAGGGAAGCAGAGACCAAAAACTTGCATCAACCAAGCGCAGTGTGGTGCTGGAAACAGATGGAAGCGCTTCGAAGCCCGTGCTTGCGCAGGATGTGGACTACAGCTCCGTCAGTGCAGCAACTTGGTCCTACTTTGGCCTGGTCAGTGTGGCCAAGGGGGGCAAGGTGAGGACGAACCCCTGTACAGTGATGGGACTTCTTATAAATACAGTACATCAAGATACATCAAGCACGCATTTTTTCCCGCTCAAATCACCAGGGTTAGTTGTAAGTAAAATGGACTGACAAAAGGTTTCTGAACCGGTAGGGGCCATCAGTCTCAGCGTGTCTGCAGTTGAGCAAGATTAGACTAGGTTGGCAACCCCAACTAGAAATGAAGTTGGCTGTACAAGGATACGAAATTGCTATTCATCCCCATTTGGATGAAGCGTTGCGATTCCGAGATCCTGTAAACTCTATGAAAAGGGTATGTTCATTTTCAATACCCAGATTTCGATCATTCGTGGTCATGTAGAATGTAGAGACTTTGCATAATGACTGACGCCACTAGCACAGAGAGTCTCGGCAAGGCAGAGTGCCCAATCGCAAGATGATGCGGGTATTTGATGTCTGGAATATGCTTCTAGTGACCACGCCCTGAAGTTAGGCCTGATCAACCAGAACACCTCCGCATTGTAAGTGGGTGATAGCCCTTACCCTCTGGTAATTTAACATAACTATGGAAAATCACCATTTATAGTGAAATTTCCCATGAAAAATGGTGATTTCCCATAGTTATGTTAAATTACCAGAGGGTAACAGCAGGGGTTACCTCGACTTGCTGGTGATTCGAGGTTCCAGTGCAGGAGGGTGTCGTCAACGTTCCTTTGTCGGGTCCTCGCCTATTGGTGCTGACGGATGTGGGCGAGGATGCGGCGGGCTGAGGGCGTCGGGCTGGGAGGATACGACTGGAGATGGAATTTGGGATTGGGGTGCTGTTTACAGTTTACCCTCCGGTAATTTAACATAGCTATTGAAAATGACCATTTATAGTGGATTTTCCCATTGATCATGGTGATTTTCCATAGCTATGTTAAATTACCAGAGGGTACAGTCAAAGTTTCCTGCCCTGGCAGCCTGGCATATTTTTTTTTTGCAATCTTATGATATAATCTTTGGTAAAGTCCACTGCCTTTGTTCAGGGTATCCAAGTGTGACCCATATAGCTACCTGGTCCATCCTCGCCTACCAAGAGTCAGGACGCAGATCCCAAGGGACGACCCCAAGGTTTCAAGAAAGGGTGTGTTTCTAAATATGGTTGGCTCTGAAACTTTGTCAAGCATAGATTCTGCTGTGTTTCCTTCGAGTGGCCCATCTGAAGCTTATCTGCTTAGATGTATGTTTCTGCAATGTCTTGGCGCTCCAATTGTTTGAGCCCTTGTTTGACTACGATACATCCATGTATCAAAATTGGGTACACTGAATATTCAATGAAAGACAAGATGACGAGATTTTGGTGGGGTCCCGGTCCCACTGAAAGGAGATTGACGATGAGGCTTCGCTGTGGTTACTGCATCAGCATTTGAATGCCTATCCAACAGCGGAGGCGGGCAGTGCTGAGTGGTCACATGGCTGGCTTCAAGTCTTCAACACATCAATAGAATTCCCGGCAGATTTTTTTTGAGGGCTGAGTGAAGGTAGTAGGAAGTCCCCCAACCCTTTTCTTTGTGACTAAACCTCCAACTTCGGAGGCTTTCTACCCATTTCTGGGGATAGGTATGCTTTATTAATCTGGCTATGGGTCAAAACCTTGTACCCCTGGTGAACATCAAAATAGCTGGTAAATGGATGTTCATCCCACTAAAAATGTATCTATAGGTATTGACCCATACCCATCTCCAAAAAACCACCCGAAATCCCAAAATCCTGGCATTGTCGGCATCCTGTGAGGCAGACATCGTTTTCGTGACTGGCTCCCCACTGGAGCGTGCCACCCGCTGGGCACGGGACACTCAGAGGGCTGGGAAAAGGGCGGCACGTCCTGAAAATGGTGATGTTAACCAGCAACAAAACTATGAGAGGATATACCCTCTGGTAATTTAACATAGCTATCGAACATGGCCATTTATAGTGAGTTTTCCCATTAAAAATGGTGATTTTCCATAGTTATGTTAGTTTACTAGAGGGTAAGACGTGTTTTTTGACACTCTTCAAAAAATGGTTATCATCCGGAGTTTCAAGATCATTTGTGAATGTTAACCACCCAAAGCTGGTGGTTAACTTTAACCATTTATGGAGATACATGGGAAGATTTCATGTTCATTTATGGATGTTCCGGTCATTGATTCCGGGATTTTCTGGCAGGAGAGCCTCCCATCATATTTAATGGGGATGTAGCTCAGTTCAGCATGAGGCGCAAGTCCTGAACTCTCTGCCGGCCACGCACAAGCTGACGGATCGGATTCAGTACTACGTCGGTCCAACCACCAGCAGGTGTGGATCTGTTTTGGAGTCGAGTGGTTGGGGACCCGGACTGGGATGATTTGCCCACATTTTCTGCTGGTGAAGTTTCTCCTTTGTAAGCGCTGGTTGGCAATGTTTACAAAACCCGAACCCCTGTTCTTTTTTGGTTTCAACACTTGGATATATATATATAATAAAATATAATATAATATATGTATATATAATCTAAAATATAATATAATATATGTATATATAATATATGTATAGTATATATAATATATATGTATATATAATATATAATATATAATATTTCATATATCATATATCATATATCATATATCATATATAATATATAATATATAATATATAACATATAATATATAACATATAATGTTTATATATATATGTATATAATATAACATGATAATATATATATATATGTAATATATGCAAAAATATTATATATATACCTGATAATGTATATATAATATAATATAATATAATATAATATAATATAACATAATATAATAATATAATATAATATAATATAATATAATACACTATAATAAAATAATATATATATATATCTAAATATGATATATATATATGATATATATATATATACATATGATGTGTGTATATATATATGATATATATATATATATGTGATGTATTTATATATAACTATGATATATTTAGATATAAATATTATATGTATAAATATGATATATATATATAAATATGACATATATATATATATATATATATAAATATGATATATATATATATAAATATGATATATATATATGATAATATATATATATATGAATATATATATATATGATAATGCATATATATATATATATATATTACACTATAATATCCATTAATATCCCATATCCGATGAACCATCACAAAACAACACTTTTTGGTTGCTACAGCGGTGTTTTGCTGTTACCGGTCTAACCTTGCCCCATCACTTCTGGCCAGACACATGCGCTATCGGATGATGGCGGATGCCGCCGAGCTGCTCTCAGCGGGGCTGGCCACGTTGATCAACAAGCCCTTCGAAGGAGGCCCCTGCTGGCGGCAGGGCAGGAATTGAGGGCTGGGTTGCGCAGATAGTAGGGATATAGTAGGGATGTGTATATATATATATATACATAATTATATAATGGGATATACATATATATATATATATACACATGGGATATATACATACGGAATATATATATATATATATATGTACATACATATACCTTAATCAATAATAACATCTTATAATGATGTAAGAAGAACATTATGTCTGAGTTGATGAGGGTTGTGGATGGCATCTGCAAGAATTATTGTAGATTAATTAACATATGACATATAGATGGGGATGTAAGAACCAAGATATAAACCAATGAGAACCGGGTTTGTCCGAACATTTATATGGGAACAACCCCAAAATCCAGTGGTTTGAGACCTCATTCTTTTTCAATGACAATCTGGGGGTTTAGCCTGTTTAAAGACAGACCGACATGAAAATTGTGTAAGGTGAAGTGTCACTGGTTGCGGTTTTTCTATTCGTTTTGACAATTTTTCTCCTGAGATTTTGGGATGGGCAGCTAGCGTGTGATGGAGATTTGAGATTTTAGGGCAAAGGTCTGAAAGGATTGCAGGGAACAAGTTGACATCCTCAGTTTCCATAGGTCAATCATTTGCCACTGTTGGAGTTTCGACCCTGGATCAAGCACCAAATTTTTTATGGATGGCTTTGTCTCTAAGTAGGCTACCTCCAAATATCCCGTGGTTGATCACTCCCCCGAAATGGCGATTTTGGGGCTTCTCTCAGAGGATATCAACTTCGCTGAGGCTTCTATGATGTGGTCCTGCAGATCTCCCCGATTTCAGGCGCTGTAGTAAGGGGCCGTTTCAACCCACCATGCTGGAAGAGTTGCTTCTATTCAATACTTGCGATATATATATATAGATACAATACTTGGGATAATTTAGAGGGAGGGAGGAAATGGGACTTTTTCCCACAGGTACTCGTACTCATCCACAACTCGTGATGTCCGGTGTCTTTCGGAGGCTTCTCTGCGGACTTCAAGAACCCGCCAGCCGCGCCCATGGGGGCCCTGGCGGCCGTGGAACCGCGACCAGGGTGCCAAGGCCATCGGGCCGGAGGGGGAAGTGATTGGATCTGAGGTTGGTGATAGGTGCGCTGTTTTTGTTTATTCTTCTTTATTGGGTTTGCCACTTTATCATCGAGTAAGGAAGCCAAGAAGCCAATTTGGCAAACAAAATTATTCTTGGTAGGAAAGCAGAAATAAACATGAGGATATTCCAGTGCCAAGTTGGAGTTTGGGGAGGCAACCTTTGTAAAAATGCCGGATTTGCAAAGACATGGCGCGGTTTCAGGGCTCCTGTACGTCATCGTGGGCGGCGAAGGGGCCACCAACTTTCCAAGAGATGAGCTGCACATAGGTTTTAAGCAGCTGCTGATTGAGTTTTTTGGCCGCAAATTGCTGGGCGCTTTCCTTCAGGGGCTGATTCGAAAATGTTCCGTAAATTTGGGGATGGCAGAGGTGGGTCCAAAGAGGTTGGGAAGTGAAGATCTGTCATGGTCACATACCTCAGGGTTTGGCGCTTGGTGCATCAATGATGTAGATCATTTGGTTGGATCAAACTGATGGAAGTAGACATTCCAATGCTGGGAGATCCAACCCTCCAAAATCTGAGACAGGCAGAGTTGGAAAGTGGTCAACTCTTCACAAGGATACTCTTTTCTTGGAGTGCCTAGGGCCTAGAACCATTTTCGGGAATGTAGGTGGCTTATTTTAGTATGTTTTTATATTTTTTATCACCATTTGAGAATCCAACTTCCCAGCATTAAACCGAATCTATCGGTATTTCCGGCTTCTCCCTCCGGCTCCTTAGGAAAGGCTTCCGATCTGTACACGTCGAAAAGGCCAACTACTTAAACTGGGACAAGGACGGTGTTGAGTCATGTTGAAGGGGCTTGGGGCCGCAGGGTCACATACTCGGTACAGGTTTCCAGGGGCCCTGGAGGTTTGGAAATCCAATATATAGATATAATCATCCTATGTCATTCTCCAAAATGGACAACAGGGTAGATTTTGACCTAGAGTGAAGCAAGCCACCCAGCCCCAGATTGCACTGGCACGGACTTGTGAACACCAAAGCACGGACAAAGTGAACCATGTTAGCATGCTCGGCTACCCTGGGATATGCCATGAGGCTAGGCAGAACAATCCTGGCACAAAGGCTCCGCTTTCGATCTTCTAAAACTGGTGAAGTCCACTGACGAAGCCGGTTGTCTCAAAATTGGGAAGCCCCCAGTCACCCAGTCCCAATAGTTTATCATCATTTCCCGCAATATCAAAGACGCATCAACACAGACAATCGTAAGATATTCCCCATGTCATAGAAACCCAAAGACGTGGATTCTACTTAGCGGATCTGCAAAGTGAACAGGATGACAGGGTAAACCATCGTAACATATTGTAACCATGGCCAGGAGATGTTTGAGACCTTTCCGTCGAAGCTTACGGACTCTTGGGCCCTGTTGGTTTTACATGAATTCCAGGTGATAAAACCGAAGTTTTTTGGGGTGCCCCAGATTCAAAATGGGCGTAGACGATAGTAACTGCCAATCCAATTCGATTGAATTCATGAAGCCGCTTGTGGATGGATGGCTGAGCAGGTGTCGATCCGTACCAAAGTTGAGAATGGGTCAATGGGTCGGAGTCAGGATGTGTTGGAAAACGCTCTCGCACTTAAGAGTCTAATCCCCAAGTTGCAACCTTGCTCATCATGCAAGAGAAAGATATTATCGTCTATCAATTGTCATTTTCTACTGGTGCTATCCATCACGTGATGACCAGGAATTGGTTCTGGATGATGAGTGGAACAAAGCCGTGGGTCGAATTCCGCCCATGGTGGCTACCCAGCTGAAACGTGGAGCAAGGTTGGGAAACGAGCCGAAGTCCATGGACTCCATGGCCTTAAACTTGGACTTCGAATTGAGGTAATTCAAACATCTTACGGTAGATCTTGTTGACGGTGAAAAATGGAAAGTCTATGCTTAGGGTGACCATGACAGAGACTTTAGTGCAAAATTTTGCAATTTTGATCGATTTTAAAGTTCCAGCTGCAAAAGCAACTTGTTCGAGTACGATTATCTCCAGCTGATGGGTTTCAGTGAGTGTTTTTGGGCGCTGAGCTGTTGTCACTCTTTGGTTTTTCGGCTCAAGCGAAATTTGTGGATCAAGTTCTAGTCCTTCTCCATTTCACCTTTTTCATCCTTCCCCTATGGGATCGAAGACTTCGCTTTTCTTCTGCCACGATGACCAGAAGTATGCCGGAGAGACCGCAGAGATGAGGGATGGACCTCTTAGAACCTGCGAGTACCTCAAATCGCAGCTTGAAAAATATATGACTGGCACTGTCCAGTATGTGAGCTTCCCCAAAAGCAACATTAGAGACCTGGACTGGTTGGCCGATGCCCTGAAGAACGCTGAACACAACACAGTCATTTTCTTTTATATTGGCCATGGTGGTACGGTTGGCCCTTGTCAGGGTTTCCGGTTGCAGAGTGGAGAGGTTGTGAAGGCTCAGGAACTGTGTGACAAGGTTATTTTTGAAAGATGGCTCTACATGGTCCTAGACTGTTGTGGAAGCCCTGGACAGAAGTGCTCTGCATGGCAACCTCCGATCAAAGTCGATCACTCCAATCCCGGTAGGGGTTGTTTGTTTGGTCCGAAAGAGGGACAACCACTTGCAATGGTCAAGATCTGGCAGTTGACCGACGCGGCGACAGGTGATGGCCTCCGCAGTGTTTTCTCATTCTACATAGCAGAGGAGGCCAGGTCACGTAGAGAAGCAGGCGTGTGGCCAGCGGACAAAAACCATGAATGTCTACTCGAATGCATCAAAGCTGGAATGAACCGTGCAAACGCCACGTTCCAAACACTCGGCTTGCCGTCGCGTGTGGAGTTCTTGACCCTTCGAGGATGACCGAGGTTTGTAGGCCACTGACCACCTTGCAACACGTCTCCGACAGCGAGAGGGGACAAAAGGATCTGGCACCATTTAACCCATGCGGGCGGTCCTTGGGAAGATTTTCCAGCAAAAAAACACATGAAACGTGGAAGCAAAACCTGATATGGGTCTGAACATAGGGTGTACGCCCCGTAATGGAAATTTGATAGGGAAAATGATGATTAAGCTGTGAATTTAGGGGTATGGAGTACCCCATGATTTCTGGGTCCCAGGCGAATCTCTTTGTCCGCTTTCGAGTGAACACCTTGGTGAACTATGAGGCCGAAGGGCCAGGGAAGGCGAAAAATAGGGCACATGGGGTTTTCGGATTCAAGTCCTATTTTTCAAAGATTCGAAAACCCATGTGGTCCCAAATCAAAAAAGGATTTTGGGATTGGGATATATCGGAGGCATGGCCTGAAATTACATAGGGTTTGGATTTGATTGGACATCCTCCAGCCACATCACCACTGCTACCTTGGTCCTTGAGGTTTGCAGATGACGACAGGAACTGGGGTCTATGCCATTTTCTTCTGGATTCCTACATAGTACTATCCAATACTAAGCCCCAACCTACACACACATAGATAAAATAAATATATAGATAGATTAGATTAGATTAGATTAGATTAGATGAGATGAGATGAGATTAGATTAAATAGATAGATAGCAGAAATCATGTTTTTCTACACTTCCAAACCAGTTTGGGCATCACGTGGACTTCGCCCCAGGTGGTGGATCGGGCCTTTGCCGCGTTTGAGGAAGACCTGCGCGGGACGCCTGACTATGCCACTTGGGCTCCTTACGAAGTCCTTCGTTGCTGTTGAGAAACCAAAGTGGTACCCATAGGGGAATTCAACATGGCTATGGGAAATGGCATATTTATAGATGATTGATGATTTACACATTAAGTATATATATATATAATATATATATTATAAGTATAAAGCAGGTTATCTTCCATAGCTATGTCAAACAGAGGACAGTTCTCGATGACCCTCCCCAAACTTGGCGAGCAAGACTTGGTTGCCGACATTCCCCCCATTTTTGCAGTAGGTAGTCGCTATCAATGCATCATCTGGGGATGGGTCAAAACCCTGGTACCTAGTGAACCCCAAAATAGCTGGTAAATGGAATGTTCATCCCACTAAAAATGTATCTATAGGTATTGACCCATACCCATCTACACCTACATGCAACCCAACATGCACCCCAACATGCAACCCATATTCCATCGTCTCCAGAGCCAGCATTTTTTGGGCTGCGATGTTCGTTTTGGGGGTCTAGACTTTCCAGGGTGAAACAGTGAAACCACAAGAGGAATCAGAAATCCTGAGGTGAAGGCAACCGCCTGGTGGGTTAAGGTGGAGAAGAAGGTGCTGCAAGACATCAGGTCACTGGGATGGTAATGTTCTGTAGGGCTCATGGCTATCCACCAAGATTCAAACTGAATTGGTGAAACAGTGGGTCGCAGTGGGTCACTTGGAGGCCGCAGTTTTGGAGCGAAGCGTGCTGAAGCGTGAAAAATGGGGACGTACTTGGAGATCAACCATGTCCTGTTGACCAGCTGGATCCTAGGTCTGGATACATCAAGAAGTCTCGTGAAGCCGACAACAAGTCCAAAGACTGTTTCTTGGGCACAGGGAACTGATGATCGATTTTCCGCTCGAATGGCCATTTCTGGCTCCATTGGTGTACCTGATTTTAGGTGGACACACATTGGTTTGTTGAAGCACCACGACATTGTTGGTTTAAATCAGCATTTCTGTTGCCTCCATCCCAATTATTCCCAATTCATTTTTTCATTCCACAAGTTTTTTGGTCAATTTTTTTGCCGCACAATTTTGTTGGTTCAACCATTCAACCCCCCAATTCTTGTTGGTTCAAACCACGCTTTTCGGGCAAGAATCACATTCGTCGATCGGATCCCAATGTTTGTCGACAAAATCATCCCAATGTTTGGTTAAGTCGAATCTCCAAACAAAAAGTTGGGATGATAGTTACCGACATTGGGATGATAGTTAGCAACATCATCCAACATCATCCCCAAGTTCCAATCATCATCCCCAATTATGAGTTTAGAATATTCTACTGTTATACAGTTTATGATCCCCATAGTTATCAACATCATCCAACATCAGTTAACATCATCCCCAAGTTCCGTTTGTCATCCTCAGCCATCCCCAGGTTTCGGCAACGAGGCCGTGTCCTCCAAGGCCACAGGGCCACAGGGTGCATGACTTGGAAGTTGCGATGGAAAAATATGGGATGACTATGGAACTATGGATAATATATGGATAATATGTGGATAATATATGGATCATTTATGGATAATATATGGATAATATATGGATAATATATGGATAAATGCTGCTGTAGTAACCCAAAAAGTCAGAGAAACTTGAATTTGAGATGATTTTTGAATTGCGTTTTTGCAGCTCTGCATCTTTTTTTTGGGTGCTATAAGCACCGATAATCCTTGGAAGCATGGCAACAAGTGCCCACTCATTCAAAGGAAACGCATCCCAGAAGCAACCATTTGTTGTTGGTTATTTACTCAGAGATTCGTTGGTGATACAGTATCCTGAGTTTTTGTTGCCTTGTCTTCGTCTTTGAATTCCACTTTCCCATACCCTCTGGCAAAATAACATAGCTTTTGAACATGATCCATTCATAGATGTTTCCATATCAAAAATGGTGATTAATTAGCCATAGCTATGCTAAATTATGAGACGATAAGTCTTGATGATTCGCCCAAGCCGCTCACCCCTTTACCACCATCATACAGGTACTGATCGTGAGAATAGAAGCTCAAAGAAGACAATATTGATAACGATAGTATAGGATAGTTGTACTCAAGAAAGTATGTATGTATATATGTATATATATATATGTATATATATATATGTATATATATATGTATATATATATATATGTATATATATATGTATGTGTATATATATATAAATGTATATATATATATATAAATGTATATATATATGTATATATATATATGTATATATATGTATATGTATATATGTATATGTATATATATATATACACTATGTATATATATATGTATATGTATACATATATGTATATATATATTATATGTATTAATGTAATGTAATGTAATGTAATGTAATGTAATGTAATGTATATATATATATATTATAGATCAGACTTGCAACGACAATGACAATGATAATTCCGCGAATGCAATGATCATGGACCCTCATAGCCACAAAGGTAATTATGATTTGATAGTCACAAAGATGATACTGTGGCACACCCAATAAGAAACAATCCCCAATTTGACCAGACATATTCCGTAGAAACCCGAAGTGGAAGTTTATTAAATGTGTTTTTTCTAAATCTACAACAGCAGCTGCATCTGAGTATAGCTCACCATCATCTCCAGGTGAAGGGCATGAAGATGAGCTGGGAGTCCATTATGTCACGCATCTGCGTGCGCGACATCCTGGCTTCCACAGACATCAAGGAGACCAGCTTCTCCCAGAACAGCGTGGACGACATCATGTGCCATGCCGTCACCCTGATGACCAGCAAACTCTTGAGGATTTACGCCTTCAACAGGTGGGGATTTTGGGATGTTGGGGGGATGGGAGGTTGTTTTATTTGACTTGGTGGGGTTTGAATGTTGCGTTTTTTTTTTTGGGGGGTGAAATTTGCCAAGGATCAAAGAAGCTGGGGGGGTTGTTGAAGATTTTTTTTCATATGGAACATTCACCAACCTGGTGTCTATTGGATTTCAGAGAAGTGGCGGGGGGTGGGGATTCTATTTGCCTTGTCGGTGCAGTTGGTGAAGTGGGCTTTCAGGACGCAGGATCTCAGTGGGGTACAGCGTCCTCGGGTGCTTGAGTGATATTGAATGACAACATCACGCTCTCGGTTTCTTCCCCATATCAAGATGCCAGTTTTGTGGATTACGGCACCATGTTCTTTTTTCAATGAAGATTTGCGTTTCAAACATTCCCATTCTCAATTGAACAAATGTGATCCTTGGCCCCGACTTATGGGTTTGACTAAAGATAATTCATAGATATTCATAGGATGCCCCATGATCCAATTCTTGATCATGATTCCCCTTCCTTCACAGAAATGCGCGAACATGTCAATTTTGGCGTGGTTTCGCAGTATGAATTGCCAATGTTTTGGGTCCATAGGAGTCCCCGGTGTCTGGACAAACCCGTATCATATTGTTGGTCTTATGTCTTGTTGGTTTTATTTCTTATCCCATCATATCCCCATTCTGTTCCCATTTTTTCCCATCATATTCCCCACTATATTTTCCCATTAGATCGCCATTCTGGTGAATTTTCCCCCTGTTGAACCATGTTGTAGCCCTTTACCAGTCATACCCTCTGGTAAACTAACATAGCTATTGAAAAGGACCATTTATAGTGGATTTTCCCATTGAAAATGATGATTTTCCATAGTTATGTTAGTTTACCAGAGGGTAAGTCCGCTACAACGCCATGGAATGATAGCCCCCTGGAATGACGATGGCCAGGTACGTGAGTGGCCGAGATCCCGACGTCGCGCAATTGGAGCCGTACTTGGTGGGAACGAAGGTTTTTCGGCCGAAATGGGGTTTTTCAAAACGCCGAAATGTTGTAGATTTACTATCTTATGGGGATGGGTCAAAACCCTGGTACCTAGTGAACCCCAAAATAGCTGGGATTTATGGATGTTCATCCCACTAAAAATGTATCTATAGGTATTGACCCATACCCTCTTGAGTAAGATGAAACATCTATAGGGGACAGCAACCTTCAGAAGCTTTTTTTTTCGATATCATGGGCCTTACGAATCTCCGAGATTCGTCGCCGGAGCTGCACAATCCATGGGATTTCCCATGGCAATGGTTGATCATCGGAGAGTATCCACTCTTGCAATGAATTGGGATGGAATGGGATGTCTCCTCAGTTGATGATTTTGAGAGTCTTCAGTAAACTGATTTGTCCTCCCAAGATTGGATGGTTTAGAAGAAAAGCAAGTAATATATCTAAGATT